GGCCTTGCGATAAAGCGTCGGGCGATGTGAATTTTACGTCGTCCAAGAGCGATTTTGCGTGTAGCTAGGGCTATTTGCGTCGAGCAAAGTATTTTTTGTTTGAGTATATTTAAAGATATTTTTTAGCGGAATTTTAATGAAGTAATTTACGATTATTTTAAGATTTAATAAAGTATTTTAAAAACCGCACGCAGTTGATATAAAAGTTTGAATTACAAAAAAAAAAAATATGCTCATTATTTACAAGTAGAAAAAATTTGGATTAAAAAAAAAGTTTAAATCTTTTTAAGCTAACATTTTAATAAAATTATTCAGGAATAGCAAAGTTGTCGATAAAATTGAACAAAAATACTTTCTTTTAGTTTTAGATTTTTAACTTAAATAATTATTTTACGGGTGTTTGTTAGGTTTTAAAATTATTCCATAGACTTAAAAATGTTTATTGACTGTTAGACGTATTTAAAGTATTTGAGAGTAATTTTTAAGGAAACTTTTTAAAAATTGGTAAGCGCAAATAAAAAAATAATAAATTGGATTAATATTAAAACGTATTCTACATGATTCAATAAAATAGTACAGTTATTAAAATTTTTGTAAAAAGTAACTCAAAAAAAATTACTCAATTAATAACAATCGCTTTTTTGTTAAAAGTTACTGAAACTCAACGAAGCGTGCTCAATTCTAACATTTTATTTTATTTTACTAGAAATAAGATTCCTTGTAAACATTAAAAATCTATTCAAAACGTTTGTTAAGGTTTTTTCGTAATATGAGTGATAGCGCTTATCAACAGCTTTATGAAAATAAATAAAAATAATTTAAAAAATATTATATAAAATCACTGGTAAAATATTAGCTATTGCACAGTTTCTAATCGTTCAATATTATAATTTCCAGTTTATTACTCGCTGACATTTTAAAAAGAAAAAATAATTATTTGAAAAACTTTAAAATACATATTTGAGCAAAAAAAAATCAAATATTAGCATATTTTATAATCTTTTTTAAATGTTTAGTTATGTTTTTTATTCGTTAAGTATAGACAAAGCGTGTAAAACGTCGAGAAAATAAACGAAAAAACGAAGCATTCAAAAACTTTAAATAATAACATTTCTGCATTGATGATTTGAAGTAGTTTTGCGGTAATTAAGTAAATTGGTGCAGTTAATGTCGATAAATATGAAAAGCAAATAAAAAGAATTTAACGACGTCAAAAATCACGTCGAGCTTATGCGTTGCGCAGTTGCGTCATCACAAGGCCTGACACATCCTTGTCAACTGCTTAATCCAAAGGAGCGATGTAATGTTTTGAGACCCCTTTCTTCAACAAGTTTATCCTAAATAATAATTTTGGCTCATATTTGCTTTTTCTTTTGAGCTTAACCTCATTAGGAGTTGTCTCGGGATCAGAAGTATAATATCCTGCGTTGCCAGAAAGCTGTGTGTTGCACAAAGCAAAATACAATTTGTCATCAATTATCACAAATTTTTTTCAGAAAAGTGCAACTAATTTTCGACACTTAGAATGCACAGCACAGAGTCAATGTTCTTTTTGACACTTTAGTATTTTTATGATACTGAATGCTCGTCTTTTCGTTGATAATTTTGGATATATACTGCTGGGAAACATTGAATCTTTTGGCTAAGTTACGCTGTGAAACACCATCCTTCTTAACAATAAATTTTTGTAGGTATTTAATCTGTTTCTTAGGCTTTTTTTTTTTGCAGTACAACCACTCCCAACTTTTCTTTCTGGTCTTTTTTATTGATCTCCTTTTATTGCAGTATATCATGCAATGTTGATTTTGAGACGTTTTCCGTATGAAAAGATTAACAACAAACATTTTGTTCTCTTCTGGATGCAAATCCAGAAAAGCGTACACTTATTTATGGAGAGCTTCTTGGTTTTTCAATCTTTCAGACATGTTTTAATAAGGTCCTGAAAAAAAAGAGCATGGTATATTGTAGAGGAATAAATTTGAAATATAATAGGCAGATTATAAAAATATAAAACATTGTTAGACATAAATTGAAGTACAAAGTTTGTCTGGATTTTTAGTTGTAACATATTATAACAGCAGCTTCTTTCACAACACTGAATTGATACATTGATGTTAGTTTATGATCAGGTGTAACAGAAACAAACTTGGTCCACCATGTAAGAATTTCATCATTACAAATAGCATAGAAGTTGCTTTAGATTCTGGATCATTTTTTGCCATCCCATATAAAATTCCGCCTGAATAAGCAACTGTTGGTGATGATTTTTACCTCATCAACTATCAAAAACCATCTTTCTGATGATCGTTCTTTACTTTTTTAAATGTTTTTTGTAATACAAGACCAATGTTTGTGGTAGAAATTATCAAGCAGAGATTAAATAGAATTCAATCTCATGAGTAACTGGACATTTTACTGCATATCGATTACATCCCAGCATATAGATTTACACTTTTGAATCAGAGAAATTGCATTCATATTGGTGATTTGGTACCAAGTTTACATTTGTTAGAAATGCAATATGAGGAAATGGCTAAAAAAACGAAAAAAAGAAAAAATTTTGCAAATTGTTGATAAAAAATGTAAAAAAAACAGTTTGATTATGAGCTTAACTCTGCTGTTTATGCAGCTGCTGCAGTTTTAAATGTTTCTAAACTTTACCTCCGGTATCAAAGACTGATAGCTAAAGCCACAGTAACCTCAATAGTAATCTTGGTGATTGAATTAAATAAAAACAAGTGAAAAAAATGATTTGACTGCACATGCTAAAAATAGTTTTACTCAAAAAAGTGTCTGAAAATGAAGCCGTTGATCAGTTTTATCAAAGCATAGAATTGGATCAGGTAGAATACAACAAAACAGAACTCAGCATTGAGCACTTAGCTGACAAAGAAAGAGATTTTATAAATAGTTTGAAAAACCAATACTTACTTTCTCCAACAAAACTAAGTACAATGCATTTTGGTTTGATAAAAAAATGTTTTACAATATACTGACATAATCAGCATATGTTGAAGGCTTTTTTAGCATATGCGCTTTAGTTAATGGAAAAAGAGTCAGCAACATGACAGATGAAACATTAATAAATCGTGCCTTTTTAAAAAGTAACTTACTTACTCAATGAACTGGCTGAATAAAAATATTTTCTTCATTCATTTGTAAATAATTTTCTTGATCATTGTTTTGTTTATGAGTAGCAACTATATTTTTGAAATTTTCTATTGTTTTCTTCTTTTTGCTTTTCTGTTTGAAATGCAATGAAGTAAAAAATCATATTACTGAAAAACCAAATTCTAATTTACACGCAAAATACTCAACAATAATAAGTATGATGAGCTGCGTATTAAGTATTCTACTCAACAATAATGGGTATGATGAGTTGCGTTCGGTTTATTATACTCAAAATAATGTGTGTACTGAGTTGCATTTGAGTATGATGTGTATATATATATATATATATATATATATATATATATATATATATATATATATATATATATATATATATATATATATATATATATATATATATATTTATATATATATAAATATATATATATATATATATATATATATATACATATATATATATATATATATATATATATATATATATATAAATATATATATATATATATATATATATATATATATATATATGTATAAATATATATATATACATATGTATAAATATATATATATATATGTATAAATATATATATATATATATATGTATAAATATATATATATATATATATATATATATATATACATATATAAATACATAGATGTATATACAGCATGGAAAACAACAGTTGGTCAACGACTGCCGAAATAACTAAAGTTGCTACTTTAACCTCCTGAAAGGAATTTTAACAAACTTTAGTATACTTTTATATGGCCGGTTAACAAACTTTAGTATATTTTTTTCAACAGTTGAAAAAACTATACTAAAGTTTCAAAATATCATTGAAATTTGCAACAACAAAAAAAACGTTTATAATAGTTTTATTGTTTACAATATGCTAAATTAACTCGCTTTGTCAATGAATATTACATATGACATAGAAAAATCCTTTTTCCATAAATGAAGTTCTTTTTTTATTATTATTTTAATAAAAAGAACTAATATATTATTTTATTAATAATATAATAATACATAATAATTGCTGTATTTTCTAGAAAGTTTTTGCCACAAACTGCAATAAATGAATGAATGATTTAGAGATAATTTTAAAATTACTAATTGCCTGTTTGAGCTTTTTTTTCTATAATAAGATTCTTAAAAATATATATATATATTTAGAAAAAGTCTTGTTTTATGTAACATTAATAATTTTTATAGTAGTGTTTCATAAAGAAATGGTCGTCTTAGTTCAGTTTAAATATTTTATATTTAATATTAGGAACACTTTCTCTTTCAACTGTACTTTTTTATTATTTTTTTTAATTCAATTTTTTTTTTTTTCTTTTTTTTTCTTTTTTTTTTTCTAGCTTTTCCAATCATTTGCGATGAATAAATTATTTTAAATAAGTTCAAAATTGTCAAACTGTTTTGATATTAAAAAAAAGTCAACATTAAATAACTTAAATGTTATTAAACTTCCTTTTTAATAAGGAGTTATTTTTAACTATTAACATCAGCAGGTAACTTGATTGTTAGTTAATTGTGAGTTTACATTTAGAAAATGCATTGACTTTTTTTAAAATTATTATTTTGAAAGTAATGTAAATTCTTTAATTTTCAAGCATTTTTTTTTTCTAATTATTTTTGTATTTTTAAAGTTTTATTTATTAAGAACTATTAATAAGATAAAAATTTAAACAAAGAAAAAAATCAAAATCTTGACCATTCAATTTCTTATTTTACATACTGTATTTATATTATACCGCATTTGTCATAATTATTATTGTATTTGGAAGTTTTGGCTTTTAATAAAATAAGATAAGGGTGATTAAAAAAAGCATAAATAATAATTAAAAAAAAAAACGTCACTTACAGTACTTAATAAGTCAAAAATCTTGTTCCAGTCATTAGTTAGTTTCAAGAACATCTGCACTCCAATCCACGAAAATACCAATTTTTCATTTGAATATTTTATTTCAAGGTACTCAGGTTTGCTTATTGCATCATACTGATCAGCAGCTAAATCTTTTCTGTCATTATAATTAGACAGAAGGTCGGAAATAGAATTGTCAATTTCACAAAATCCAATTAGTGAATGCAAAAATGAAATGAAATCTTCTGGTTTTTCAGAATCAATATACTTTTTAAAATACAAAGCAGAAAAACTTTTGTCAAACAAGAGAACTCTGTGGAAATATCTGTGCAATAAACATCGATAATTACAATCTTGTAGACCACGAAAACTATTCGGACAACCTCGCTCACATCCTAACATTTTAAACACAGCTAAATAACACTGTAATATTGATCCATGATGGCTAATTAGAGAATTATAAGTTTTATCATCTTGCAGTAAAAAAAGCTCTGAAAGAGTTGTTACTAAGAATATTATGTTTACAGACATTGATACTAACTCAGTTCTCTTAAAAAGAATCTTTAAGACTCCTAATATAAACACCCAAGAAAGTTCACCATTTTGAGTAACAAATCCTTTCAGTGATTCAGGTACTGTTTCGTTAATTATGATATTCTTGAATTTTTTTTCTATTTGAGGAATACTTTTAGAGGCTGAAAAAAGATCGAGGGAAGATCCTACAACGGATATTGTACTTTTTTTAGGCTGCATTTTTAAATAAAAATCTAAAACAGGGCAGTTTTCAGAATTAAGCCCATTACAATGCAGCAACTTTTTTAAATAGTGCTGCAGGTACAAAATACCCCATCTATAACCTTGTTGATTCCAAGAATCTAAAGATAGTACCTTTAAAACAGCCACATCAAAGTAGGTAGCAATCATAACATTTTCATCTAAAGTAGATTCCTTACTTTCACTCGTTTTTTCAGTATTTGCCCTAACAACTGGTACAGCAAAGTAACACTCGTGGGGGCAGCAATGATTCCATAATGCGGGCCATAAATTTAATCCACTTTGCAAACTAAGTATTAAATCAGATTCATATAGATTATGCATATGAGGTACAATCGTTTGAACAAAGAGTTCAACAACTGGCAAAGAAAATGAAGTTTTATCTTCAGGAAAAAGATCAGCTGATTCAAGTAAAATCCAGTGTAGGGTAGCAAAGAGCTTTGTTACAGAAGGTGAAAGTTTGTCAGTAAGACAAAGCTTTGGACGCTTCATTCTCTGCTGGAGTATATTAGAACAACAGTGTATAACATAAGGCAATGCTCCTCTCACAAATGTCCATCGTGATATTGAATTCATTGCATTGTAAACATCAAGAGATCTAATTTGAATCTCTTTTAGTTTAAATTCTACCAGCATTCTCTCAAGAGCCTTAAAAAACAATATACTAGTTATAAGAAATTAAAAAAAAGTAAAACATCTAAAAAAAATTTCATAATTTAATAAATATATTTTGCTGAACAAAAAATTTTGACCATGTGTTTCATTGTAGATTTAACTGTGATGCACAAGTAAGTGCATGCAACTATTTTTGAAATCAGATTTAATTATGTACTTTAATTAATTTTTTTTAATTTTTTAATAAGGCTTTTTTCTGTAGAGAAAACAAAAAAATTATCTATAGCCTGTTTTAGAACCGCTGAAAAGATTTTTATATCAAAAATAGGAAAAAAGTTTTCAGTTTCAAATACAGTAGTAAATAACTAATTTTCTGCTTATTTTACAGAGTTTGTTTATTTTTCAGGACAAATAAATGAATTTATAAGAAATTATATTAAAAAGTAATTATATAACTCGTTTAATGTTTAAAACTGTCAATTAATTACTAACCGAACATTAGTTATAAAAAAAAATTTAAACTTATTACAAAACTTAACTTAAAAACAAATGTATGAATTTTTTTTTTTTTTGAAAGATAGAATGATTTTTAAGTATTTATCCAGAGTAGCATTAACTTTTGGTTGTTGTTAATTAAGAATTAACTGTTTTTAATAATAAATTAATGTAAAAATTTCAGTCTTGAACTCAATTAAGTAATTGCATATTACTTTAGAAAAGCAAAAAAACGAAACAAAAACTTTTCCAGAAAGTTTTGTTTTAATTAAAGTGATTCTCAAGTGCCAAGACAAATTGTGTTCATATCATAAATAATCCTTAAAAAATAAGTTTCATGTTAATTAAAATTTTTAAAACAAATTATTTATCAAGAGATAAGCAAAAAAGTTTATAATTTTTGATTTATTTAATTTTTGAACTTATTCTGATATGCGTTATCAGAATCAAATTTATTCTGACAGGTGTTATTAGAATAAATTTGATTCTGATAACACATATCAGAATAAATTTGATTCTAATAACACGTGTCAAAATAAATTTGATTCTGATAACACGTGTCAAAATAAATTTGATTCTGATAACACGTTTCAAAATAAATTTGATTCTGATAACACGTGTCAAAATAAATTTGATTTTGAAAACACGTGTTAAAATAAATTTGATTCTGATAACACGTGTCAAAATAAATTTGATTTACAGGGTGGCCCGTAAGTTTTGTCCACCCGTTATGACTACTCATCGTTTTTACTGAAAAAGAAAAGACAACATACGATCTTATTGATATGTCTTTGCAAGTTGTTTACTAGAGGTTGTTTACTTTTACGAGGTGGAAAAAGTTTGAAAAATTTCGATTTTACACTTGAACAGAGGTTTGTAAAAGTTATAAATTCGAATTATAAAAAAATTTGTGCTATATAAAAATAGACCTAGAAAAGTAGTGAATTTATTCATTTCAAGATTTTCTGTTAAGTTTTGTTAAATTACATCTGTCTAACACATTTCAGTTTTAAACCAGCTTACTTTGAGGTTTTTTTTTTTGGCAATTTGAGTTCTTTGTTGTCTCCAGTAGGCCCAAAAGTTTTGTCCACTTTAGATTAAGAGGACAATGTGCTATTTTCTATATTTTCTGTATCTGCATCTGTATTTTTAGATGGATAAAGTTATTGGAAAATCAAATTTAACAGCATCACTGAAAGAAACGCATTGCTGAGTTAGGTAAATTAGGAAAGTCTAAGGCTGAAGTAGCTGCTGCAATCGGCTGCAGTGAGAAAAGCGTTCAGCGATACTGGAGAACCCTGTTAATACAAACTTTAATGAAAAGAAACGCTGTGGTCGTCCAAATGTGGTGTCACCAGCATTAAAGAAGGTAATAACCAGTGAAATGAAGGACAAGTGGGGTTCATCAACAAGAAGTTGTGCGAAAAAGTTAAACTTTTCTGAACGATACATTAAAAAGGATACACGTAAAAAACAAATTTCTCGTTCAACATTTTTACGATACACGTAAAAAACAAATTTCTCTTTCAACAGTGCAACGTTTTGTTCAACATCAACCATGGGGTAAAGTGGCTTACCATAAACCAATAAAACCACTATTGACTGAAAAAAATAGAAATGATTGCTTGAAATTTTGTGATTTGTTGGAACAAAATGGTTACCTTCAAGATGACCGTGTTGGTAGACAAAAACGAGGTCATGTTCTGTGGACAGACGAAAGCCCTGTTGAGTTATTTCCAGTTCCAAATCGTCAGAATATGCGAATACGGACCAATGACAAATCAAAGATCACTCCAGCTGTTCGTCCTATGTTTGGATTGAAAATTATGGTGTGTGGTGGTATGTCACGGTATGGATTGACTGAATTGGTTGTTGTGCCAGAGAAGCAGACAGTTAATGCTGATTATTACATGAATCACATTTTACCAAAATATGTTGAGGCTACTACAAGAAACCATCAAGGTGATACTGCTGATAAGAGAAAAATGTTTTTTAATCAAGATATGATTCTTTTTCAGCAAGATGGTGCACCTGCACACTCAGCAAAAATCGTTCAGCAATTTTGTGCAAAAAACTTTCCGTCGATGATTCCAAAAGAATTGTGGCCTGGGAACAGTCCAGATATTAATGTAATTGAACATTTATGGAACTTGCTTCAACAAAGTGTCTTTGAGGCTCCTAAGCCAAAAAATAGAGTTGAACTTGTGGAACGGGTGAAAAACAAGTGGTCTTCTGTGACTGGTGACTATCTCTGTTTGTTGGTTGAATCACTACCAAAACGTGTACAGGAAATTCGTGCTGCCAATGGAGGACACAGTAGTTATTAATAAACTGTAACAGTCATTTTGTATGACCTGACTTGTAAAATGATTGAAATATAGTGCTTATTGCGTATAAACATATTTTGTCTGATTACTAGACTAACTGAAGTCATGCAAGGGGGGGACAAAACTTATGGGCCACCCTGTATATATATATACATATATATATAATAATGTCATTAACTATAAATAATTTTGTTTTCTGTTACTAAATTTTTCGATAAAGTAATTAGCTTAATAGAGATTAGGTTTTTGTTGTTTTTAATTTTATTCAATTTTTTTTTCATTAGTAAATAGCATTTATATCTAATATAATTGTCATTTAAACTTTTGTAATAAACTTTTTTAAATAATCGTCACTCAAAAGTTAATGTATATCCTTTTTTTTAGTTAACTACTTTTTTTATTTTATTGCTTATTAAAAAAATTTAAATGCTAAAAAATGATAAACAATCGCTTAATAGAAATATATATGTATATATATATATATATATATATACATATATATATATATATATATATATATATATATATATATATATATATATATATATATATATATATATATATATATATATATATATATATATATATATATATATATATAATATATATATATATATATAAGGGTCCTGTAAAGCTTTAAAATTTCGAATTAAATTGATTCAATAAAGTGATTCGAGATTGGAAAGTTCTTTTTTTAATGAGACAGTTTTAAAACAGGTTGCTATAAGTAAACTTATTTCTTATAGGTTGACTGTTTTTAGTGGTTTGTCCTTAACATATGTAACATTAAAAAAAATTTAAGGTAGAAAAATTTAAGGAGATCATTTGCTCTTTTGCACAGAGATTTTTGTTGGTAATAAAGCTAATTACTTAAAGTCTCAATGCAAGAAAACTAATAATCTCCTACTTCAATTTATTAAGAAAATTCAGTATTACCTTTGTGGATGACCCCGTGATTAATAAATCACCTGTTACTTATAAAGTAGCAATTACTTTTTTCAACAATTTTAAATTTCCACTGTACTATAAAAAAAAATTTGCAATTGCTATTTCGATTTTTGACATTTATTTCATAGAGGACAATTAATATTAAGAAACAATCTTTAATAAGTTGATTTCATAAAGAGACAAATCAAAAAAGATCTGTTGCACGTTTATTACTGGGAAGACAATTATTTTAGAAAACGCTTTTTTTTTTATTCATTTTTAATTTTGTTAACTCTTTAAAATTACTACATTTCTTATTTATGCAACCACGAGAGTCATTAAGTTGCACTTTGAAGTAAAGATCAGTTTTACTTTGTAAAACACTTAAGTGCAAAGCTTCTATATATGTACAAAACTCTGGCAAAACATCACATTTCTGGAGTCACTTGGAAGGAAAGCAGAAGGGGCTTCATACTCAAACAAAAGCAGATTGAACAAAAAAACGTAAATTGTCGAAATTAAATGTTTTGGAAAACATTTGTTTAAAAAAATCTATGCAAAGCGTTGTCAGATTTTCTTAACAAGCCTTAATTGAACACAGGAAAATATTTGACCAAGCTGTATTGAAATTTATTGTTGCAGATGGATGTTCTTTTAAGACTTCGGCTGTTAAGGGTTTTTTAAAATTGTGTTCAACTCTTACTAATAAAAATTATAAACCTCCCCATCCATTTACGCTTTCACTGAAGATAAATGACTTGAAAACAGTGTTGAAAAGTAAATTTAAAACAGTAACTTGTGGAAATGTCAGGTTGTAAATGTTGCATCACCTTTGATAATTGGAAAGCTACTAACTAATAACTATTTAGTTTTAAAAGTACATTATATAACTCTAACAGAATGGAAGCTAAAATCATGTAGCTTATCTGAGGTAAATCTTGAAGATATCAATGCAGATCATACTTCTCAAAAAACAAGAGGTTATTATTAATCAACTGCAAAGTTCAAATACTGAAATAAAAAACATTCTATGTGCAACCACAGACACAACAAACACATGTCTGTCACTGTTAGTCTTTAAGAATTTTCATGGCAGAAATGTGCTGCAATTGTTCTTTAACTATGCATTAAGTGTGCATCAAGCTGAAAGTTCAACAACAAGTTAAAAACCTTATTAGTTTGGTACACGAAATTGCAGGATTTTTCAACAGTTCTTCTATAGCTCTAAAATGTTAGGGACTTTTGAATCTGTCCACCACTTTATATGGTAATCAGGTTTAACAGTACATTTAAACTTCTGAATTGGTCATGTGAAAATTGTACGGCAATAACAATGGTTCTTACAGAAAGCACTTAAAGTGGTTGATGCGCAAAAGCTCATTCACAAGCTTTTTTGGCGATGAAAGATATATTAAAAAAAAAAATGCATTCCATTTTTAAAACCAATATCGAATGCAACAGCACTACTTAGTACTATATCTAATATATATATATATATCTAATATATATATATATCTAATATATATATATATATATCTAATATATATATATATATATATATATATATATATATATATATATATATATATATATATATATATATATATATATATATATATATATATATATATATATATATATATATACTTTGTTCATCTCTAGGACGCAATTTCCTAATAGCATTTTTGAAAATGAAAGAAAAGATTTCCAGCCAATGTCAAACCCTTGGTCAATGTAGCACCACTCCTTTGCCACAGCAGGTAAAGATAGTTGATGTATATACTAAAGCTGTCACAACTTCCTGTTTTTTTATGATTATCTGAGTGCATCTAATGCTGCATTTATATACGTATGTATATATAAAAACAGGTTAATATACTGTTAAACATCTAAATCACTCAAACTTTCAAAGCTGAAGCTATTTCTTGATTAAACTCTTGCACACCTGTGTTTCAGACAACATTTTCTCTTTAATGCTCACTAATTAATAATTGGTTTAATAGTTTAGTGAATATTAAAGAGAATTTTTTTTCCTTATCTATAAATCTCTTCCTTTCTTCTAGAAATAATACCTTGGTCAATGATAAAGCAAGCTTCCGTCTCTTTTTTAACATCCAAATTTTAATCTTGCAAGGCTCTGTCATTCATTAAAAATGAGCTTCTAAAAACTTGGAAAATTGGAAAAAAATACAAACTATAATGATATTTGATAAAAAACAAAAAGTGAGATCTAAAGCAGAACAATATTATTTTTCATAATCATTTTTTTATTTTTTTTTACTATTCAGGTTTAATCAAAAACCACCAAAAGCAACTACTAAAAAGACATGTTTTTTACATTTAAATATATTGCCTAATATATTTTTTTAATTCACATTTGGATATATGCTTCAAATATATATGCAAATATAAAATATTTAATTTCTTCATATCTATTTACTTGAAATATTTATTTAAAAATAATTTTATTCTAACATTATTTAACCTTTATAAAGGAGAATCACTTGATTTAGTCATGAAGCAACCAAAAGATGTACATATAAAATGTATGTATATTACATACATTTTATAAAATATATGTATATTAATTCATTTTTTTAAACACTAGAGGTTTTTTTTGTTTTTTTTTTATATTTTTTTTTTATAAATATTAAAAGTTTAAATTACTCACTGTACATGCTGATTCATATTTCCCATGTTCTAAATCACTTCGTAAAGCACTCCTGTAAAACAAAATGTTTTATTTTAGTATTTAATAAAGACTTTTTATTAACAAAATATTTTATTATATTTTTATATTTTATATATTTTTATACTTTTTATTATTTCATATTTATATATTTATATTATTTCAAAATTACTAAATTTTTAATTTTACTAGTTTATTCACTATAAATTATGCTAAATTAAATATTGAATTAATACTCAGAAAATAAGTTACTGCACTCTAGATAAAATTATGCTAAATTTTTAATACTCAGAAAATAAGTTACTGCACTCTAGATAAATTTATGCTAAATTTTTAATACTCAGAAAATAAGTTACTCTAGATAAAATTATGCTAAATTTTTAATACTCAGAAAATAAGTTACTGCACTCTAGATAAAATTATGCTAAATTTTTAATACTCAGAAAATAAGTTACTCTAGATAAAATTATGCTAAAATTTTAATACTCAGAAAATAAGTTACTGCACTCTAGATAAAATTATGCTAAATTTTTAATACTCAGAAAATAAGTTACTGCACTCTAGATAAAATTATGCTAAATTTTTAATACTCAGAAAATAAGTTACTGCACTCTAGATAAAATTATGCTAAATTTTTAATACTCAGAAAATTACTGCACTCTAGATAAGATTATTGAAGTTTTTAATTAAGGACACAAAAATTTATTAATATTAATGAACCATTAGTAAGAAAATTTCAGAAGAAATACCTAGTTTGTTCCCAGAGATACTCCTGTACAAGTAGTGGTAACAATGACTCTGTACTTGTTTCACTCAAAAGCATTTTTATTCTTTTTTCTATAGTTAAAAAAATTGCATGCATTTTATAACATTACACTATAATTAATAAAAATGAATATTAATTTTGATTAAAGGCTATGCATTATATAACTAAAATGTCAAACTAAAATAAAGTCTATGGCAGTTGCTGTTTGTTTTTTTTTTTTTTGTTAAAAAAGATAAAAAAAATTATTACCTTTCTTTGTTTATCTTTTTCTTTATTCATTTTCTTTCCATAATTTTCTAAACCCTTTCTGTCAAAAAAGAAAAACAAATTACTTTCAAAAACTGACCTAAATCAGCAGTAAATATGCTACTGTGAAAATATGCTACAGTAAGTTTATTTCAGCAATATAATTATATATTCAACTTGCCTTAATATTTGAATAGGGCATTTAAGAAGAGAAAAAAAATTTCTAATATAATAGATGCCCTCCATACAGTTCTAGAAACTACATGCCTAAAAATGTAGCCGGAAACATTATACTGAAATAACAATCTACTGGGACTTGAGAATGACAGAGGCTTAGGTTCTAACAAAAAGTATATACAAATGAATTTATTATAACAAATTATGTGTATATATATATATATATATATATATATATATATATATATATATATATATATATATATATATATATATATATATATATATATATGTATATATATATATATATATATATATATACATATATATATATATATATATATATATATATATATATATATATATATATATATATATATATACATATATGTATATATATATATATATATATATATATATATACATATATATATATATATATATATATATATATATATATATATATATATATATATATATATATATATATATATATATATATATATATATATATGTATATATATATATATATATATATATATATATATATATATATATATATATATATATATATATATATATATATATATATATATATATATATATATATATAGTTTGACATAAATGTTTACTTTTTGTGGTAAAAAAACAGCTCTTAACAAATTTGTCTTTAAAAGTGACAAAATCAAGTACAAAAAAAAACGCAACTTACAGGTAGACGGGCCCCAAAAACAACATGATTTTTTCTTTTGTACAAAACAAATAATTTAAGTTTTTTTTGCTTTTTTATATGCGTTTATATGGTAAAAGTTCTTCCCAAAGGTTTCGAAGTATTTTAGTATTTTTATTATTTTTTTTTTTTCAGTAAAGTTTCTCTATATTTTAGTATGGGACCTCAAAAATCACATGGCTTAAATTGTTTATATTTTTTTAAAAATAGTTGTAACTTTCCCATATTTTGAATGCTTGTTATATTAAATTTCACTTCATATAGTATTTTGATAGCTAACTTATATTTTAGGGAAGTATCTAAGGCGCTACAAAAACCACATAGTTGGGACCCCAAAAACCACATGAGTTATTTTGGCTTTTAAAAAAATCTATGTGATATTACAAAAAAATAAGAGTCAGAGTAGATTTGTATTAGTTGTAACAAGCTTTTTGATGATAAAAAAGATTTTATTTTATATTCTTGCATAGAGGACAGATTTAGTTCAGTTCATTGAATTTTTGATAATATTTTATTTTTAGGCAAATAAATAAGTATGAGTAGCATCAATAAAAAATTCAAAATACGCTTGCTAAATGAAGTCTCTAAATCCAAGTTCTAATGCTGAAGCACTTATAAAGAGAAAAGCAACATTAAAAAAACAACAACAACTTGAAGTTGCTGTTCAATGGTGTAAAGAAAATAATGTAAGAGGACATGCTGCACTTAAAACAAGACAATTCCCACTTATTAAAGATCGTGAAACAATAAACGTAGACTTGATGGTAAAATAGTCAATGGTCTTGAAAGACAGTACTGTAAAATTCTCTTGGAGACAGAATAAATGTCAATTGTTTCATGCATTAAAAATAAAAATCGAGCAATCTATTGATGGGCATTGTTCACGCTTTAATTTTGATGTCTTACAGTTTTTACAATCAAAAAACATACGTATGTTCTCAACTCTGCCAGATACCACTGGTGTGACAACTTTTACACCAACTCAACAAAAACCCTAATCATGAGTATCATAGTATAAAAGTAAACAATTTTACTGATTTTAACTCACTAAATAAAGAAGCTTTTATGATGATCTTAGGATGTATTTGAAACAAATGGGCCCCAAAACAATCTGTAATCAAAGCCGTAAGACATGTGGGAGTAACTTCTACATCATTAAACACCAATAACATGCAACAGGACAAGTTTGCTGGAGCTTCTTTATCTATTGATACTTCTAAAAGTGTTTCACCCAGTATAACAACCCCTAAAAGATACACCCTTGAATCTCATGATAGAAGAAAAAATTCACCTTAATATTGGAAAGAAAAATTTGAGCATTCACAAGAGCTTATTTAAGAACTGAGCAAAAAGAGCATTCAACTTGAAGAAATCCCTGGCTCACTGACAGTGTCGAAAGTTTAGCCAAAAATTTCTAAAGTTACTACAAGGGTTAAGCGGGTTCATGGATCAATGAAAGGAAAAAATGAGCTTCTGCACTTTTTTTTCACATAGTAATCTGAGAAACAGTTTGTGAATCATTCAAAAAAGGTCAAGGGTCAAATGGACTGAGTGTCTCGTCGCTTCTACAAGGAACTGTATCTAAATGCTTTTTAAATGTGCTAAATACAGTAACTTCTAGTGAATTTGATGCTTCAATGCGCAAGTGGTTAAAAGCATGTGTTAAAATAACTTCTCTAATGTGATGACAGCATGCATACCAGAGCAATGCACGACGAATTCTTTGCTACAGGGTCACAGACACGGCACTGACATGTCTGGTTTAGCTGGCTGTAGTATCAAAAGCCATGTTTACTTTAACTCAGCACAACTCCAATACTGCAACAACTGCATTGCAGGATTTGTGATGAGATCCCCAGATCCTTGATATATTTCTGGTTGATAAGCACGTACGCCAAAGCCACAATTCTTGGAGATTTGATAATGTACATACATACATACATACATACATACATACATACATACATACATACATACATACATACATACATACATACATACATACATACATACATACATACATACATACATACATACATACATACATACATACATACATACATACATACATACATACATACATACATACATACATACATACATACATACATACATACATACATACATACATACATACATACATACATACATACATACATACATACATACATACATACATACATACATACATACATACATACATACATACATACATACATACATACATACATACATACATACATACATACATACATACATACATACATACATACATACATACATACATACATACATACATACATACATACATACATACATACATACATACATACATACATACATACATACATACATACATACATACATACATACATACATACATACATACATACATACATACATACATACATACATACATACATACATACATACATACATACATACATACATACATACATACATACATACATACATACATACATACATACACTACATACATACATACATACATACATACATACATACATACATACATACATACATACATACATACATACATACATACATACATACATACATACATACATACATACATACATACATACATACATACATACATACATACATACATACATACATACATACATACATACATACATACATACATACATACATACATACATACATACATACATACATACATACATACATACATACATACATACATACATACATACATACATACATACATACATACATACATACATACATACATACATACATACATACATACTGAAAAATATCGCTAGTAGCTCTTCTATGTATTTAAAACATTAAATCATTTAGCAAAAACAAACCTTAAACTTACTTTAAAGTTACAGAAAAGCTTTCCATTAAAATACTCAAAGTCAAAATAGTTCATTTTTTATTCAAGAAACAAAACTTTTTTAAAATAGAATTTACTTTAAGTGTGAGTGAATGGCAACAGGATTAAAGCATTAAATGGATAATAAGTATGTGGTTTATGCACTAAAATACTTTGTTCTAAATACTATATTGTTTATTAATTACTTTTTTACCACTGTCTGATGTGTGGAAGTAGGCTAAAACTAAAAGTACAATTTAGGTGTTGCATTAAAAACAGTAGAATACATCGCTAACAGAAACCCATACTAAGATCCAATTTAAAAATTTGTTTATCTTAACAATAAATTCACTTCAAATTTCTTGTTAAAAATTAGGAATATTTTGCTTGGCACATTCTAGCAAAGTGATGGATAATTTATACTTACCTGTGGCTCACTTTTACTCATCCTCTTTTACTCTGTTATTTCTATTATAATTAAAAATTAAAATACCTTTGATACTACTTCAGATTAAGTAATTCATTAACTTTATGTTTTTAATCTGTTAATACTTTTGATAATTATTTATAGAAAATGTGTGATAATCAAGCAATGATCCCTAAAACTATGATTTTGGAAACATTGCTTGGTTATCACAAATTTATTTATAAAAACCTATATTCATTATTAAAATTAGATTGTAAACAAAACTTTATATGTACTAGTTAGCTATTAGCAACAGATAAAATGTTTTTTATAAAAAATTAGAAACAAGATTACTATATAAATTAAATTAAATATGTGCTGAAAACTCAAGATAGTAATAATTATCATCTTCATTAAAATTGACAGATGATAATACAAATATAAACCAATATATATGCTAAATTTTACCGATTTTCACATAACATTATGATAAAATAAATATTTTAAACAAGGACAGGTGAAATTTAAAAACTTAAATGTAACGGATATATTTCTCTAAACGGATTTTTCTTTTTTTATTGTTGTTGTTATTTTGTATTGATAATTATTGAAAACTAACGTATTAAATTGATATTGTAAACATGCATCCGGTATAGACATATCGAATATATTTAAATATTCGGTATCAAAACGGATTTATAGTAAACCCTATTATACTCTTTTTATGGTAAAAAAAAAAAAGTTTTTAACTGGTAACACAATAACTATGTTATCAGTTAATAAACTTTTAATTAGTTAATAATTATTATAAACCAATATATATACAGTGGCGGACCTAAGGACACCCGGTCGGTGGGCCACTTAAATTAATTTTAAAAATGTAT